TTTTCTCGTGTTCTCCCAACATCCCGCGTGGTTTATTGCACCAGTAAACCCATAGAAAGAGTGGTCTATTACTTAAATAGAAACACGAGTGGAAGTTTGGGAGAACGAGAAATGCTGTGGGAACACGAGCCGCATAAACCAGGGTTTATTTATTTTTTCTGGTAATCAACAACCATATCTCTTACATCGAAATTAGTAACCTAATTAAGAACCTACTTAGCCTAAATTTCCAATAACTACTCCAAACTGACACAAGAACCTATTTTGCCAGACTTCAAAGAATGTAGGCTCTTAGACGGGGTTTTACGGCATTCTAGCCGATCACAAGGTAGATATTCACATCAGACCTGCTGTTAATCGTCCATCGAGCCGTGCTTACTTAACTAATCAAATTATCTAATGAAAATAAATTAATTATCTGTACAGAATTATACAAAAAAACTATCAAAAAACTGTCCCACATAATTATCAGCTATCGAGAAGCACAAAGCAAGGGCGAAGACAATCTAACGTACCTTGTGTTACTGACCTAAGCGCCTGAAAACGTGCGTGAGCGCGTGACGATTGGTTTTGGTTTTCCTTCTGATTGGTTGAGAGAGTGGTTCGAGGTTTCTGCACCAATCACTAAGCCAAGTAATGCAACACCTAGAAATATCCAAATTATTTTAAACTTACATAATGATATTTACTGTTATTAATTATTATTCTTTTATTGCCTTTACACTTACATATCCCAAATCCAGTCTCTTCAGCTTTGATGTTTTTTATGCCAGTTTGCGTCATTCAGCTACAGAATTAGAATATCAGTAACAGAAAATTGAAAGTGAAAGGTCAAACTCTGGGTAGTTGTGGGTATTAAGTTCCCGATGCAGAGTGTATTTTTCAACGACGTTCTCTCAGATCACACCAAGGAATGTACTACACTTGATCGAGTCTTCTTCTACTCTGGATACGCATTATTCAAGATGACTGAGTGACGTGATTACAGAGTGAAGTGGCACGATTACAGGTTTGTTTTACCTAGTTAGTTCATGCGCATTTTGTAATGCAAGTCGACGACCGTATTCTAGAGACAGTTTCACTATTTTCGAATGATCTCAGCGCTAGCGAAAATCGCTTATTCTTTCAAGCCAACGGGATGAACGAAGATCGAAAACCATTAAATGTAGTTTGTAAAATTGTGTGTTCATCACTGAAAAACGGCAACCTTCTCAAACTATAGGATGAGGAAAATGTTCACTAGGCACTGTTAGCTGATACAGGATTTGGCATATCGTGTTTCGGCTTTTCCGATTCTGTAAAATGGGCTGATGCAATCTTTTCGTCTTACGAGAACTGAAATAGCAATGTTTTCAACGAATCACGGACATAATAACGTCTGATGTATGTGATCCGCGGGTATT